AATGTTCTTTTGCATAATTTTAAAACAGAGCCTTAATATATCTATTTTATTTTATTAGATTTAAGGGCCACCTGACTCTGGAATTACTTTGGGTAGCTTACATTTTAAAAGAGAAAAATAAAATAATAAACAGAGGAATGTATGTCTAGACAAGACAAACTCCATACGCTAGAAAAAACACACTCAACAGGGGATCAGCAGCCACCCTACCCCAATGCCTAGGAAAACAGCCAGTTTTTAAAGAGTTCTGGAACACCATCAGAGTAGGAGTAACACTGATAGCTGGGGAAATGTTATTCCAGAGAATATAAAACCTTTCCTCTGGCTCTGCATCCATAATTCCACAATCTGCCCCCCATGGTCTGTTGCCAGCCACTTCTAAATCAATCAGAATTAAGTCCATAAAGCTTCTCTTCTGTATCACAAGCTCGTTCCAGCCAACTGCATGTTCGTGCAAGTTACACTGTGAGACTTTCTAGAAGGCCCCTATGACTTGCTTAGATTGAGCTTTCAATGCATTTGGAGAAAAAGAAAATCACTTAAAACTACGTCAAGCCACTGGTTAGGAAATGGGTGTACATGTAGTGTGTTGGTGATATGTATTTTATTTATAACTATGGACTCACCATCTCATTCTATAGCTGAATCAGGGAATGAGATAACCAACAAGTTGTTGGACTCCCCGTTAGCTCCCACATGGCATATCCCAGGTTTTTTTTTCAGCATACAGTCTGCTAAATCCGCAGGACTGATACATAGTCACGTACGTTTGTACCCAGTTCTAATGCTATTTTGTACAATGAATGACGTTTGTCTTTTAATCCTTCTGTGATCGATAACACTTCAGAAGTTTTATGGTGTCATGTTTTATATCTGTTGCTCACTTGCTGGGAATGACTGGAGTCTTGGTCTAAATCATTTGGAATGCTCCGAAATAAAATATAATAAATAAAATAAAATAAAATAAATAAATAAGTATATGCCAAGAGTTTTATATTGTTTTTGATCAGATGGTAAATATCCCAACATGTATACAGGTTCTCTAGTTTTTGAGGGAGTTTAAAACGAATGAAAATAATATCCATATAAGAGTCGGTAGTGAGACCTTCAGAGAATTAGCTTCACATGTTGGCATTTCATATTGTATTTGAAGCCGTGAAGGCAGATTCATTTGTGTTCCCTAAAATAGCATTTTAAAAAGGTATGCGTTACAGAATGATGTATTGTGCTGTGCTGTACAAAAATAGAGCAAGATTACACTTAGTATATTGGCAGAGTTATGTTAGTGATCAGTTTGATTTCCTTTCTGATTCACTGCCAAAGTTCTGTCTGAACCTTATTAGAGATCCACCTTAGGAGTTTTATTCCAGCCAGCTGGCTTGGGAAGAAGCAAAACAAAATAACCAAAATAAAATATTGTCATTTGTCATCCCACCCATCCAAACTATGTTTTTAAAGTGTTTACCCATGAAACAAAACCTTCAGGAGTCACCCAGAAATTAAGTCGTCTTCTACAGTGGAACCTCGGGTTACGAAC